GGGGAGAACAGAGGAGCGGAAGGGAGACGAGGAGGGGTGTGGCGATTAGGCTCGGGACGCGACCTCGATTGCAGCTCCCGAATCTCCACCACCGCAGAGCGCTCGGAGCGCATCGTGCGTCGGGATTGAACCCGCGCGTCGCGGGTCCTGGTTGCATTAGAAGCGGAGCGCGCCGAGACACGCGAGAATCATTCCTCATCACCACCACCACCATCGTCCGCAGCGTTCGCCTCCTCCTCCTCCGCGCCGGTGGGAGCGGCGAGATGCGGAGATTAGAGGCGAGACTCGCGACTCATAAATCTCACTCAGCGGCCCGCGCCGCGATCCTCAAGCCCCTTTATTTTATTTTCCTGTTTCTGACAGCGTGGAGACGGCAGAACCGGACTGCCCCCTCCTCCCCCGCTCGATCCCCCCCCCGCCACTCCTCCCGATCTCCCCCAGCGTCTGCCGCTGCCTACCCAAGTCTCCCTCCGCCTCCACCCTCCCTCCATCTCCCTCCCATTGACCGTGACCACCCCCCAACCTCCTCCCTGCCTCAGAGCCCCCCCCCACCCCACTCCCTTCTCCTCCCGCCCGTCGTCGCCGCGAACCCGGCTCATCTACGCTCCCATCACCTCCTGTCCCTCCAACCCCGTGGTGTGTTATTTCTCGCGGCACCCCCTGGGGGTGAGTGGTGTAGCGGCAAGGGGGGGGGGTGGGGAGTAAAGGTGGTTGGGGTGGGGGTCCCCGTAGAGATTAGCTGTCAGTCATCACGTGCTGCTGCTGCTGCTCATCGTGGTTGAGTGTGTGGGGGGGGGGGGGGCAGTGGACGGTGGAGCGCTAGGGGGGTAACTCGGGGATCCCTTTCGCGAGTTCACAAAAACCCCGCCTCCTGCCCCCCTCGCAGTCCTGCCCATAGACCCACCCCCCACCCCCCACACCTCCCCTCGTCTCCCCCCGGGCCCCACCCCCACATTCCTGCTCGGTATCGGGTTCGCGTCTCGCCTCTCCCGGAGCCGAGCGGGGTCGCGCCCTGCCACCACGGACCCATGGCCGGGGATCAAACTCAGTCGGTCCAACACTCCTCGGCGGCACCGGTCGTGTCCGCTTGTCACGTGGTCAGCGAGAGCAGTGGTGGACATTCCATATTCCCATGGCGAGAGCTTCGTCCATAGTGGTGTTTATTTTATCGACCCCAGGGTGGGATGATGGTGCTGAGTCGACCCCGCCACATCCAGGATTTGAACTCGCGACCCTTCTGCCTCGCTCGAGTGCTCAGCCGGCCGGGCCAGGTGTCACGTGAGTGCTCACCGCGAGGCCCTCTTGCACTGGTCAGATGCTCGCGTCGCTACGGCCGCAGAAGCGTCATCACATTGGTCTTCATCCAGCAGTGGATAGACCACGGTGCTCGGAATTACACCCAGAGACGACGCGTGAATCGGAGACCACGCGCAGCCTCAACTCAAACTGTTTATGGAGCGTGAGCTGCGACTCGGGGCAGGACGCGTCACCGCCCGCGGTCGACGGTAGCGGCAGCCGAGGAGTAAAATCCGCTCCGCGTGGGTTACGTCCAGCAGGGAGACGGAGCAACGATGGAATCGGCTCGTGTGCAGCGAGCGCCGTCCGAATCGCGATGGGGTTGGCGGCAGCGGCGGCTTGTGGAGGCCTTCATCCAGCGGCGGAATGGCCACGGCTGATGAGGAACATCGCGACTCCCCGATCGCAATGCAACCCCAGGGTGGCCACGGCGGGCCGCTTCTGCCTGGGTCAGTGGAGCGACCCGCGCCACTCACGTCACCACTACCGGCTCACCTGGCTCGATGGCCGGTGACGTCACCACTACCGGCTCACCTGCCTCGATGGCCGGTGACGTCACCACTACCGGCTCACCTGCCTCGATGGCCGGTGACGTCACCACTACCGGCTCACCTGTCTCGATGGCCGGTGACGTCACCACTACCGGTTCACCTGTCTCGATGGCCGGTGACGTCACCACTACCGGCTCACCTGCCTCGATGGCCGGTGCCGTCACCACTACCGGCTCACCTGTCTCGATGGCCGGTGACGTCACCACCTCGTGAGTTCATTCAACCCATTCGCCTGTGTCAATGGCCGGTGACGTCACACACCCCCCCCGCGCAACACGAACCAGTGACGTCACCGTCGCCTCACCTGTCCCAATAACCCGGCGACGTAACTCACTTCACCTGTGTCGTTCGGCCATTGCGCGCTGACGTCACCGCTCGCCCCCTGCCTTTGATTGGTCGCTTCTAATTAAACTCTGCAGAAAATCGGTTCATGACCCCCATCCCCCCCCCCTTCAACCCCCCCCCCCCACCAGATGTATCAAGATCCGGGCGGGGGTTGGTGGATCGCGTAGAGATTCGTCAAGACTCTCAATCCCGCTGTGCTGCCGCAAGCTGTCCAGGGGGAATGGTAGCACAGCAAGCGGGAGGTTCCTTGAACCAACCACGCGTGGCGGACCTCTGAGTTGCAAGCTGTTAGCACGGTTGGCTACGTACGGCGCGAACGAAGTTCAACATACGTACGAGCAGCTCGTCTGTAACCGTGGAATTTTTCCTCCGACGCGAAGCAGAAAACAATCCACGATTTTGGCAGGAATTGTTAAAACGCTCCCGACGCAGCAGGGCCCCCACGCGGCGCAGGGAGACCCTCATCCAGCAGTGGACTGAACAAGTCCCGTACCCGAACACGGATATGAAATCCGTGTTCGGCTTGGAGGGGGAGCGCGTCACGCCTCAAGGGGGGCTCCGCGGCATCTCCCCCCACCCCCACCCACCCCCTCCCCCGGCCCCCACCCTGAGAGCCGCGAGCCGCGTGGTGCCGGTCTCATGGCTCAGCACGGCGGGCTCGCCGAGCCACTGCGATGGAGACGGTGGCGCGGTTCGCACGAGGCGAGGGAGGGAGGGAGACGCGAGGGATTGGAGAGACGGAGGGAGGAGACGGAGAGAGGGAGTTGGGTGGGAGGAGGGAGGGATGTGAGGAAGGGGAGGAGGGGAGGGGGGGAGTCGCTTCAAATTAAGCGCTCAAGAGAAGCGCTCCTGGCACAGAGTGGAGCGTTCACACTTCCCCCCACCCCTCCTCCTCCACCCCCTCCTCACCGCAGACTTGTATCGTAAACCCCTAATTGTGTTTTAATCGCTCCAGCGTGCGGGGCCACGCGGCTCAGACGAGGGGAGCGGGGGAGCCGGGACAGCGGGCCCTGGGACCCCAATACCCCATGCCCCCCCTCCCTCCAAATCTCCAGGCTCGCCCCCCCCCCCCCCTCTAACTATCTTCCAAACTCGGGGACCCCCACACACAGGAACCCCCGAGCTTATAGACTCCAACCAGCCGGTTCCGCCGTGCTCCACGCGTCCTCCCACCATTCTCAGCTCCCCCGCCCGCTCGCCACCCCCGTGCCCCCCCCCCCCCCCATCTCTCTCCCCGCCCCGGGCTCACGGGGCTGGGAAAGCGATTAGCGGAAACCCGATCGCGTCCCGTCAGCCCACGGCTCCGCCGAGATTGATGCGCGCGGATTTACGCGCTGCCTCGACACGGGTTTACCGGACAACATCGCATCATCATCATCATCGTCGTCATCATCACCATCATCATCGTCGTCATCATCATCGTCATCATCATCATCGTCGTCGTCATCATCGTCATCAGCGCCACCATCACTCGTGATCAATCCACTGCTAGGCGAAGGCATCCATCAATCCGTGTCTCTCTCTCTCGCGCTCGCGCCGTGAAGCGATCGACTTTAGTTGACTCATGTCGAGCTTCAACATCCTCGTAGCGGCGACACGAGCCGCGTCCAATCGCGCCTCGCTCACGATCTGCCGAGCTGAGCCCTCGGTTCCGCGTTCTCGTCTTGATTGTGCTCTTGGTTGTGGCGTTGGTTGTGGCGTTGGTGATGTTGATCGATGATGCTGGCGGTGCTGATTGCGGCGCTGTGACGTTTGGGATTTCAAAGTTGTTCACGATAATTTGTTTCGTGTTAAGCTTGCGGCACGCCCAAGTGTTTTTCGTCGGACGTTCACGTGTGCGCGCCTCCATGTTGCTCGTGGCGATTGTGTGCACGCGGCGTTCACGCGCCTTGTGTTGTTTGTGTTGTTTGTGTTGCTCATTAAGCGCTGCCACTGAGTGATTTGCAAGCGGCGCGCGTCGCTCCCAAAGCAAATGTTAGTCAGCCCCGCGGCTGCGTCTCCTGGGTCGGCGAGGCCGGGAGTGGGGGGGGTAGACTGGGGGAGGCCCGGGGGTGTAAGGGGGGAGGAGGCTGCTACAAGTGCCCGGACTCCGCCGGCCGCGGTGTCAAGTTTCGCGGTTCGCGTCGGGACCCGCGCCCGGGGTCGTGGCGGCCAATCCGCGTGTCCGGGAGTCGCCGCGTTACCGCGAGGGCCCCCAGACCGACGCGGCACGGCCGGCCACGAGACCCGAGGCCTCAGACCCGGGGGCCTGGGCCCGGTGAGAGCGGCCCGGCACCGTGGACGCGAGGTCCCCGCTGCGTCTCGCCGCGCTGCCGGGAAGACGCGACTCGTTCGGGGGGGAGACGAGGAGCGGCCGCGTGAGCGAAGAGGAGGAGGGACGGGAGACGAAAGAGAGAGAGGGGGGGGAGAAGGAGGAGAGAGGGAGGGGAGAGGGGAGGAGAAATAGAGAGAGAGTCAGAGGGGAGAGGATATACAGAGAGGGAGGAGGAGATATGAGAGCGAGGGAGGAGGCGAGATCGAGAAGAGATGAGAACAGCAAGAGGGTGGAGATAGCTCGAGAGGAGAGCTCGAGGAGAGACTGAGACGACGACGACAATCGTGAGACGGGGGGCGAAGAGAAAAAGGGAGAGACGGAGGAAAGAGAGCGGCAGAGCAGAGGGGAGAGAGTGAGCGTAGATAGAACGAGGAAACAGAGGGAGGGGGTAGAGGAGAGATAGGAGCAGAGGGAGGAGGAGGAAGCGGAGGGCGCGAGCCGAGGCGAGGAGGACGAGGCGACTGAGACTCGAGCAGAGGGAGGAGGACGAGGCGAGTGAGACTCGAGCAGAGGGAGGAGGAGGAGGACGAGGCGAGTGAGACTCGAGCAGAGGGAGGAGGAGGAGGACGAGTCTCGTGAAGGAAGAATAGGATCGTCCCTCCTCTCCGCGTGGTGCACGTTGGGGGGGGGGGGGGCACCATGTCCCTACTGCCGTCGTTCGGCTTCACGCAGGAGCAGGTGGCGTGCGTGTGCGAGGTGCTGCAGCAGGGAGGCAACATCGAGCGCCTGGGCCGCTTCCTGTGGTCGCTGCCCGCGTGCGAGCACCTCCACAAGAACGAGAGCGTGCTCAAGGCGAAGGCCGTGGTGGCCTTCCACCGGGGCAACTTCCGCGAGCTCTACAAGACGCTGGAGAGCCACCAGTTCTCGGCGCACAACCACCCCAAGCTGCAGCAGCTGTGGCTCAAGGCGCACTACACGGAGGCGGAGAAGCTGCGCGGGAGACCCCTGGGCGCCGTGGGCAAGTACCGGGTGCGGCGCAAGTTCCCGCTGCCGAGGACCATCTGGGACGGCGAGGAGACGAGCTACTGCTTCAAGGAGAAGTCTCGGGGCGTGCTGCGCGAGTGGTACGCGCACAACCCGTACCCGTCCCCGCGCGAGAAGCGGGAGCTGGCCGAGGCCACGGGGCTGACCACGACGCAGGTCAGCAACTGGTTCAAGAACCGGCGACAGCGAGACCGCGCCGCGGAGGCCAAGGACAGGTAGGGCTAGGTCGGGGTGAGGGGTCAGGGTGAGGGGTCAGGGTCCCGGGTCGGGGTGAGGGTGGTATGGGGGGGGGGGGGTGCGGGTAAAGGGGGTGAGGGTTTGGGGTGAGGGTTGTGGCGAGGGGAACATGGAGTATAGGTGAGGGGGGTTTTGGTGTGTGGCGGCCGTGGTTCGTGTTTGGGGTTTGGGGATATTCGGGAGAGGGACGCGACCGGCGGACAGGTCACGAACACAACTCCCCTGTACAGGTCACGAACACAACTCCCCTTGTACAGGTCACGAACACAACTCCCTGTACAGGTCACGAACACAACTCCCCTGTACAGGTCACGAACACAACTCCCCTTGTACAGGTCACGAACACAACTCCCTGTACAGGTCACGAACACAACTCACCTTGTACAGGTCACGAACACAACTCCCCTTGTACAGGTCACGAACACAACTCCCTGTACAGGTCACGAACACAACTCCCTGTACAGGTCACGAACACAACTCCCCTATACAAGTCACGAACACAACTCCCTGTACAGGTCACGAACACAACTCCCCTGTACAGGTCACGAACACAACTCCCTGTTCAGGTCACGAACACAACTCCCCTGTTCAGGTCACGAACACAACTCCCTGTACAGGTCACGAACACAACTCCCCTGTAGAGGTCACGAACACAACTCAACTCGTGAGCTATCTTCGATACCTCCGTTGAGTTGGGTTGAGCCGCGATGGACGTTCACGCCGATGAGCAGCAGTCGAACTTGGTCGTTTCGGGTCGAGCGGCCACGATGTCGCGGTGGCGTGGCGGTGCGCGGAGTTCCGTCCAAAGTCGCTCGTCTTCTTGGCCACGCCGCGCCTAATCACCACGGACTCCTCGTCGATTCTACGGACGACTTCGCCAGGGGAGGGTGGGGGGCTCCTGCCTCAGGGTTCAGCCGATTTGTGCTCGTGTCGCCCTCGTTATCGCCGCTGCTGGTGATCGATGGGGGCCGATGATGAATGGTCGATTCGTGCTCTCGTTCGGACGCGCTGCTACAGCTGCAACGGTAGCAGCAGCATGAATAATAATAACTTGTATCACCTACAGCCAAGTAGTATCTTGTATCATCTACAGCCAGGTAGTAACTTGTCTCACCTACAGCCAGGTAGTAACTTGTCTCACCTATAGCCAGGTAGTAAACTTGTATCATCTACAGTCAGGTAGTAACTTGTCTCACCTACAGCCAGGTAGTAACTTGTATCACCTACAGCCAGGTAGTAACTTGTCTCACCTACAGCCAGGTAGTAACTTGTCTCACCTATAGCCAGGTAGTAACTTACATCACCTACAGCCAGGTAGTAACTTGTATCACCTACAGCCAGGTAGTAACTTACATCACCTACAGCCAGGTAGTAACTTGTATCACCTACAGCCAGGTAGTAAACTTGTATCATCTACAGTCAGGTAGTAAATTGTATCACCTACAGCCAGGTAGTAACTTGTATCACCTACAGCCAGGTGTAACTTGTCTCACCTACAGCCAGGTAGTAAACTTGTCTCACCTACAGCCAGGTAGTAACTTGTCTCACCTACAGCCAGGTAGTAACTTGTATCACCTACAGCCAGGTAGTAACTTGTATCACCTACAGCCAGGTAGTAACTTACATCACCTACAGCCAGGTAGTAAGTTGTATCACCTACAGCTAGGTAGTAACTTACATCACCTACAGCCAGGTAGTAACTTGTATCATCTACAGCCAAGTAGTATCTTGTATCATCTACAGCCAAGTAGTATCTTGTATCACCTACAGCCAGGTAGTAACTTGTCTCACCTACAGCCAGGTAGTAACTTGTCTCACCTACAGCCAGGTAGTAATTTGTATCACCTACAGCCAAGTAGTATCTTGTATCACCTACAGCCAGGTAGTAACTTGTATCACCTACAGCCAAGTAGTATCTTGTATCATCTACAGCCAGGTAGTAACTTGTCTCACCTACAGCCAGGTAGTAACTTGCATCACCTACAGCCAGGTAGTAACTTGTATCAACTACAGCCAGGTAGTAACTTGTATCACCTATAGCCAGGTAGTAACTTGTATCACCTACAGCCAGGTAGTAACTTGTATCACCTATCGCCAGGCAGTAACTTGTATCACCTATAGCCAGGTAGTAACTTGTCTCACCTACAGCCAGGTAGTAACTTGTATCACCTATAGCCAGGTAGTAACTTGTATCACCTATAGCCAGGTAGTAACTTGTCTCACCTATAGCCAGGTAGTAACTTGTCTCACCTATAGCCAGGTAGTAACTTGTCTCACCTACAGCCAGGTAGTAACTTGTATCACCTATAGCCAGGTAGTAACTTGTATCACCTACAGCCAGGTAGTAACTTGGAGATGTTGTAATGGGAGAATCGTGATGCTTTATGTAGAGTGGAACAAAGTAGCAACGTTCAAATGTGTAACAAAAGCGCAGTGTGTGTATTGTGTGTATATTGTGTGTATATATTAATGACTACGGGCTCCAGGGTCTTCTACTACGACTGTATATATGTAGCCTTACGTTACGTGTGTTTGTTGTGTGTGTTTGTTATGTTGTGTGTGTTGTGTGTTTGTTGTGTGTTTTTGTGTTGTGTGTGTTGTGTGTGTTTGTTGTGTGTTTGTTGTGTTGTGTGTGTTTGTTGTGTTGTGTGTGTTGTGTGTGGTTGTTGTGTTGTGTGTGTTGTGTGTGTTTGTTGTGTGTTGCGTGTTTGTTGTGTGTGTGTTGTGTGTGTTGTGTGTTTGCTGTGTTGTGTGTGTTGTGTGTGTTTGTTGTGTACGTTGTGTGTGTGTTTGTTGTGTTGTGTGTTGTGTGTGTTTGTTGTGTTGTGTGTGTTTGTTGTGTGTGTTGTGTTGTGTGTGTTTGTTGTGTGTATTGTGTTATTAATGACTACGGGCACCAGGGTCTTCTACTACGACTGTATATATGTAGCCTTACGTTACGTGTGTTTGTTGTGTGTGTTTGTTATGTTGTGTGTGTTGTGTGTTTGTTGTGTGTTTTTGTGTTGTGTGTGTTTGTTGTGTGTTTGTTGTGTTGTGTATGTTGTGTGTGTTTGTTGTGTTGTGTGTGTTGTGTGTGTTTGTTGTGTTGTGTGTGTTGTGTGTGTTTGTTGTGTGTGTTGTGTGTTTGTTGTGTGTTGTGTTGTGTGTGTTGTGTTGTGTGTTTGTTGTGTTGTGTGTGTTGTGTGTGTTTGTTGTGTATGTTGTGTGTGTTTGTTGTGTTGTGTGTTGTGTGTGTTTGTTGTGTTGTGTGTGTTTGTTGTGTGTGTTGTGTTGTGTGTGTTTGTTGTGTGTGTTGTGTGTGTTTGTTGTGTATGTTGTGTGTGTTTGTTGTGTGTGTTGTGTTGTGTGTGTTTGTTGTGTTTGTGTGTGTTGTGTGTGTTTGTTGTGTACGCTGTGTGTGTTTGTTGTGTGTGTTGTGTGTTTGTTGTGTGTGTTGTGTGTGTTTGTTGTGTGTGTTGTGTTGTGTGTGTTTGTTGTGTTGTGTGTGTTTGTTGTGTATGTTGTGTGTGTTTGTTGTGTGTGTTGTGTTGTGTGTGTTTGTTGTGTTGTGTGTGTTTGTTGTGTGTGTTGTGTTGTGTGTGTTTGTTGTGTGTGTTGTGTGTGTTTGTTGTGTATGTTGTGTGTGTTTGTTGTGTGTGTTGTGTTGTGTGTTTGTTGTGTGTGTGTGTTTGTTGTGTATGCTGTGTGTGTTTGTTGTGTGTGTTGTGTTGTGTGTTTGTTGTGTTGTGTGTGTTTGTTGTGTATGCTGTGTGTGTTTGTTGTGTGTGTTGTGTTGTGTGTTTGTTGTGTTGTGTGTGTTTGTTGTGTATGTTGTGTGTGTTTGTTGTGTGTGTTTGTTGTGTGTGTTGTGTTGTGTGTTTGTTGTGTGTGTTGTGTGTGTTTGTTGTGTATGCTGTGTGTGTTTGTTGTGTGTGTTGTGTTGTGTGTGTTTGTTGTGTTTGTGTGTGTTGTGTATGCTGTGTGTGTTTGTTGTGTGTGTTGTGTTGTGTGTGTTGTGTTGTGTATACATGTGGGGTGTGCGATGTGCACGCGTGATAAAGTGTTGGCGCAGTGGTCCGTGCTCTGCGATCAGAACCCGGCAGCATGAGTTCGATTCCCGGCCACGGCTATCATCAGTGGCGAGCGAGTGATATCACAAAACCCGCACCGACCAGCACGGTGAAGTATGGTCAAAGAATCCTCCATTCCCCGAGGCTCCTCATCCAGCCGTAGGATGACAAAGCGGCCGCAACTTGCCGTCGCTTATCTCAAACCCTACGGCAACAACTCCAACGCGGCCATTCGTCAACAACACCGTAGCCATGAACATGAAAACGCGCAAGAGGCGACGTTTCGGGAAGCTGCCCTTCTTCTGAGTAGATATCTTTTCGACGAAGGGTCATTGCCCGAAACGTCGCCTACTATATTTTATATATATATATCTACGTGCCCTGCTGAAGGCGGTGTTGAGAGCTGTCGCGGCGGCCCTATCGAATGCGTTGCGGGCGCTCGCGACGACGAGGGTCGATGCGTGCGGACGCGGTGCACGCGGGACTCGCCGCTCCGGTCACAGCCGCTCCCCCCCTCTGTTACACCACCGTCTCTCGCTGTCTCTCTCTCTGTCTCTCTCCCTGTCTCTCGCTGTCTCTCTCGCTGTCTCTCTGTCTCTCCCTGTCTCTCCCTGTCTCTCTCCCTGTCTCTCCCTGTCTCTCTCTCTATCTCTCCCTGTCTCTCTCGCTGTCTCTCTCCCTGTCTCTCCCCGTCTCTCTCTGTCTCTCTCCCTGTCTCTCCCTGTCTCTCCCTGTCTCTCTCTGTCTCTCGCTGTCTCTCCCTGTCTCTCCCTGTCTCTCTCTGTCTCTCCCTGTCTCTCTCCGTCTCTCGCTGTCTCTCCCTGCCTCTCTCCCTGTCTCTCTCTGTCTCTATCTCTCTGTCTCTCCCTGTCTCCCTGTCTCTCCCTGTCTCTCTCTCTCTGTGTCTCTCTCCCTGTCTCTCTCTGTCT